TTTATCTACCTCATACTAACCTTTAAATTGATGATTTATTAAAAAAATTACCAAAAACATTTTTTCTACATTTTTAAATTAAATTATTTGATTAAATTAAGATGTAGACTAAATAATAAGTCTACATTAGTTTACACAGTAGACGTTAATGTAAGTCTACCTAGTTGTAGACTTCTTTCTTAAAGTGTAGACCTACGAATGACAGAATCGTAAAATATACTGCACGTTTTTTGTTTGTTCATAAGGGTTAAATAGTAGTTTGAACACCCCTTTCGGTTGGGTTTGCAATTGATTGAATAAGGGGTGCACCTTTAGGGTTAAAATGAATATTTGGGTTGGTTTTGGCAAATCCCCCTTAATTTAAATCATTTATCTAATTAAATAAATATTAAATTCGTTTTTATTTTTGGCTAATTTATATATTTTATTCATTACAAGTATAAACTATATTAACCACTCTAACTTTTAATGAGAGGTTCGTTGCGAAAAATCACTTCGTAGTATATATTATGGATTCAATTTAATTGGGTAACCGGAATCGGACTGATACCCGCAATTCTCTATAATAATACCATTGGATAAATAGCCTATAACCGAAATTGATTTGAACTGATCCATTTCGGGCCGGTTCCGATTTTAAATCCCAACCATCAACAATGGGTAATAAGAAACATTTTTTTCTTTGTGGGTCTTTGGCTTACTATAAAGTAGAAACTAAGTCTTTGAACAGAGGTATGATTATAGCTCAGCAACATAATCAAACTGGATTGCTTCTAATTTTTATGCAATACATCAACAACAACGTATCAGTTCACTGATAAAAAAATCAGCAAAACAGCACATAAGGACACAGTTCTCTGCTGCTAATAATGCATGCTTCCACTTACTCTGTCTCATATGGGAATAAGATTAGTATCAATTGTTCAAAAGCAAAGATTAGCATATTTGTCTGGGTGTATATATTTTCTAATTAACCAATTAAATTAAAGCCTCTGAGCATGGAGATTCTAAGTTCTTTTATTCAAAGATTCCCAAGAAACGACAAAAACATGTAAAGCAAATATCTCCACTGTTATGTCCTGTTTAGGGCCTCAATGGGACTGCTCTATATAGATTCTTGGTGATAAAAAATCTTTTTGAGTAAAGTTTGTCCGAATCCCAATTTATAAAGGGATCATTCCTTTGATGATAATAATATCTCACCACTAGGCTGAAAAATAAATTCCTGAAGTTTGTGTAGTGATACTTGAACACACAACTTAAACATGACCTACAGAAACTTCTACTATAGAGGAACCAAGTGATATTACTTCATGTTTGGGTTCTACAAGTTGCAAAAGAAACAACCACTAGGAGAGGAATAAGAATACTAATTTCTTGATTTATTTGCTAGATTGTGGATAAGGATTCCAAATTTCAACAGGGACTTTGTAACCAAAAATAATGCTTGTTCTTTAGCTTCCTTTTCATACAGATTCCTTGTAAGCTACCCCTGGTAAATTCTTAGCAATGATCATTGGGGCTTGATATATCTACGTGAAAGGATGTACTACACAAATCAAGATATTGGAATAAAACCCTTATCAAATCTTTACTGATGTAACTACTAAGAGCGAGAAAGTAAGAAGCAGAATATGCTAGCATCTCTGCTCAAAACAACCAACCAGGGTCGGTTTTGAAGAATAATGACGATGAGAATATCAGTAGTGCTATGCCTACTTGCAAAATTTATTGGCAACTTGCAAACTATTGTCTCTGGAATATATTGTGACAAAAGGCCTCGCTAGTAGTAAGATTCTTTCTCGAGTTTAAAGTTTTCCTTCTTAAGAAGAAGTTTCGCCTCTACCCTGAAACCAAACTATGTCATCTTAGAAACTAAACATCCATAATATATAAACGTGGGATATTTTGGATCACAAAAATAAAATATCTTATAAGGGCTTCTATTGGAATGTATCCAAAGAGAGCAAAGTATAATACCACTTAAGTGTGATCTGGGACTAAATCAGTGGACTAAAAAAGATCCAAGAAGTAAGGTTCTACATAGCTTTACTTTACAATATGTGTAAACAAAACTTGGATCTTCTGATAACTAACCTGATTCAGTAGTGATAAACTTGGTGTCCATCACCCCCATACCACCTGTTTCCGAGAGGAAAATCTTGAAGCTTTAAACCAATGAATCAACTATATACCATTTCGAGTTAAAATCAAACAACAAGTGGATCATGAGCAGCATGTGTTGCAAAAAAGAGGAAAATATTCAGATCTATAAAGAATGACATAACTATGAAACAAAATCAAACAATAAGTGCACCATTTATGAATGTGTTTGTTTTTGGCCAAGTATGTATATTCCTATTGTGGACTGAAACAGTTCGGTCTACGTTAGCATCCTAGTTTAGTTTCAGGACATTAATCTATTTGCCCATCCCAGGCTGGGATACTTACCAAACAAAGTAGTTAATTGATCATTTCAAACAAAATTTGTTATAGCACGACAACAAAGTATCTTTGGTTCTGTGGATATACTCTCACCACCACCTACAACAGCAAAATTTTACAGCTTAAAGGAAATTATAAAATATGAGAAAGATTAGGACAGCTGTAAATCTTTGGTTACTCCCCTTACCCATAGTCAATAATGCAGACACCAAAGAAAATAAAACAATTTGAATATCCACCAAGAGATGTGATTATTTAACGACCACGAATCCGCGTTAATTATAAAATATATGACCAAGAAAAACACAGTTACCTAACTTCAAAGAGATGGACCCAACAGCCAACATGCCAAGGAAAAAAAAGGTAGGTAAACAATGTTGACCTTTTATTTAACAAGAACAACAACAAAAAGAACACACAAGTATGACACTATTGATTGTACGGAAAGATCTATACAGCTAGAATAACTTGATATATGGTGTTTTCAGGACTCAGAATCCCGAGGTAAAGCTCTCTGCCCTCAATTTCTTTGAAGAGAACACATGAAAAGATCTACATATTGTTTTCTTTTGTATTGTTTCAACTCACAAAGATTTCGATAAGAAGAAATCTTAATAGTCAATGAAATTCATCTGTCAAAAGAGACTTATCCCTAACTTAAATCCTAGACTTGTCTGACGGACACGGTTGTCTTTGCCCTGTGACTAGAGACCATGACTGTTCTAGTAACAGACTTTTCTAAACTATTCATCAGCTAAACTGTTTCTTTTGGCTACAATCTTAATCAAGAGAATAATATTATAACACTGATTGAGAAAAAAATAAACATATTATTTACAACATTTATAGAAAAGATATCTCCACCGAGCATCATATTCCAAATATGGATGGAAAAAAAAATCACTTTAAAACGTAATTTTGGGGTGATTAGTTTGGATCTTTGATGCTGATCTCTACATTTTTTGCTCAATATTCTGTTCAAGATTAGTTATGCGTTTCTTATGGAGACAAAGACCTAAAGTTCTCTTATCCAACTGGCACTATACCCCACTTCGATCCCTTCTCCAAATACATCTCTTTATAAAGAGCAAAGGACTCTGCGACATCTGTGCAACACATCATTTCCTCATAATATTATTACTACTACAAAAGAAAACATCAACTTTATATACACTCTTTTTTCACGATGGCATCAAACTCAATGTCTGCTTATGGATCTGGCTCATGGACTGTTAAGCAGAGCCAAGCCTTTGAGCGTGCTCTAGCAACCTACGACCAGGAGACTCCTGACCGCTGGTACAATGTCGCTAGAGCCGTTGGTGGGACAACACCAGATGAAGCTAAGAGACAATACGAACTTCTCGTGCGTGACATAGAAAGCATTGAGAATGGGCACGTGCCATTCCCTAACTACAAAACTACTGGAGGCAGCACCAAAGGCAGAATGCGTGATGAGGAAAAACGGTATATTTTTTTCTTTCTTTATCAATCTAATTAGACACATATTGTGATAATTACAGCTAATCAACTTTGTTTATATTCATAATAATAGACCACTTATTCCATTTAAAGATACTTGTATAGACAAGTTATATTCCTATGCCATGACAATTTATTAGACCAAATCAAACATAAAAGAAAAGGGCATGTCTGTTTCAGCATAAAGCTTTTTACTAAACAAAGATTCTCTGACTTCTGATGCTAAGAAATATGAGACTCTAAATCTGCCAAGTGTTTTCTTCTCAGGCTTTGTTACAACCAAACTAAAAGTCCCCACACACTAAATATGCCTAGAATCATTCCTTGTCAATTTAGTATCTACTATGAACTGATTCCCACACATTGCCCAAGAAACATCCAAACATAATATCTAATACTAAATGTTTTGTATTCAGAAACAGAGCCTTAAGATATTAAGATTTAGAGCCGGAGCTTTCTACTATAAATTACGATATTTCTCTTATATTGTTGGATGTTTCTTTGACATAAAAACTAACAAATTCGACGAGATTCAGAAGCTAAATGTCTAAACAATTTTGTTTGTGGCAGGATGAGAAGCATGAAGCTGCAGTGAAAGAAGAAGCAACTGAATCTATAATTATGGTATGATGATGGTCAAGAATAAAAGAGAAACAGGCAAAAAGATGTGCTAGGCAACTTTAAGCAATGTTTGTGTTGCTATTTCCCACAAGTTTATAATCTATGTAGAACCAAAAAAAAAGCCCTCGAGTTAATTAAGCAAATATGTATTCTAGGGTTCTTCTCAATGAAAAAAAAAATCCAATTGTCTGAATCAATTAGAAATGTTGATCATACGGTAAGGGATAAACCAATCTGAATCAGATGGTTCTTTCTTTGTAATGATACTATCTACGGAGAATCCAAAAATGGAAGGAGAAGAACTCTCGAAACCAGAATGTGTCTTATCGTTTTTTCTTCTTAATGGATTGATCCCAATTAAAATATCTATACTATTAAAAGAAAAAGAATCTAAATAAATCTACATAAAAAAGTTGTTTTGACTCTTTCATTAGACTAACATTTTTTTTGTCTACTCTTATATTTCTCTAACTATATAAATACTTTACAATTTAAATAAACTCATTTATTACTTTCAATATCTATTATAAAATTTCTCTAACAATAAATATTCATGATATACTATAACTATAACACTTTGGTTTAATTAAAATCAATTATTAAATTTTGATATTACATTCTTATACAAGAACTAAATGATTAATTTTATGACATATAAAAATTAAATGGGTCTAAACATTATAAGTTGGAGATTCAAACGAAATTGGTCAAAAAAAATTGATTTAAATAAGATATGTTTATTTTTTACATGATATATTTTTATTTAATTTTAAATGTAAATTAGCCTATGATTTAAATATCAGATAGGTTGAATATTTTTATAAAAATATTCAGGTAATTCATTGATTTGTCTAATTTGGTTTAAAATAGTATTTTAGATTATTTAGTATTCAGATATTATATATAATTAATATTTGTAGGTATATAATTTATATATAAAAATTTTAAGTACCCATTTGGTTTTCGGTTTGATTTCTATTTTTAGATTCTAGAGATATATGATGATCGATTATTTATGAAATTTGGCTTAATTTAACTCCGTTTAATTTTTTTTTTTAAATTTTAAAAAGTTAAGTACCCATTTGTGCATAAGCGAAAAATAGAAACCACGCTTCTCAATGGGTTAATAACAACCTTTTGATTTTAAGATATTTTTACCATATTCGTTTTATTAATTTTTACAGGACTGAAATAAAATAATAGAACAAATTTTAAATATTACAGATATCTAATAATAGACATAAATTTATTATACATTTGATTTTACGGTCAATAAAAATATTAGAAACGCATATCAAAATCTAAATTACTTCATCTACAAGTTAATTAATTACAGACAACTATTTAATTTACATTAATTATATCAACCAGAAAAATCTAAACTGCACTAATTATATTTTCTACCATGATTTTGGGAAACCTAAATTGATTATAAAATATTATTTCATATCTCTTAAACTAAATTGACAATTTTATAAATACAAGCTATCTCGGATTCCTTTTACCATCAACTCAATCAAATTTAAAAACACCATAAAAACCCCTCAATATATCTATTCCAAAATATTTGACTTTACGATCAACAACAAAAATATCCGCGCTTAAAATCTAGTTGATAATTATTAATTAACGACAATAAAGAATCCAATTATCACGTCGATTAGAATTAAAAAAAAAAAGAAAAAAACAATTGGGCGGGACAATGGAAATCTGATACTTGTATAAGTATGTCACGTGCATAATTTATACACGCGGAGATATACCATACCGTACGTATACGAATGTGCCCACGTAAGATATACCGGATCTGTGCGTATCGTATCTAGACTCTATAACTCTGTGCTTTCTGTAGAATACACTATTAGAACTGTTATTATTTTCATAAATAGTTCATGTTTAAGTATATTTAATAAACACAGTATTTTCAGTTTTTATTTTTTATTCATTAATAATGAATATCTGTATAACGCCCCGATCTTCCACGGCTAATGGATCATCCACACTCGCTCTTTCGGTCCATGGGTCCTATCCTATTCCAACGGCCAGTCTATTATCTTCCAAGGCTTCAGAGTAAACAGACTTCAGAGTCATGTTTACTGACCTTACAATCATCACATGACTTTTTCCGTATTTTAGCCTCACTTACACGATATTGCAAATCACTTTCCGATAGGTCACTCATCCTTTGACTACTCCATCTCAAGCACGTTTAACTCTGGAGTTCTCTCTGGATGTGCTCCCGAAAAAGTAAGTGCACTTTGGTAACATAGGTAGCCAAGTCAATCCTCTTAAGCATTTCCATATATCACAATTCGAGATGTTACAATTCACCCACTCTCAAGAACGCAACATCCGCGTTGCGCCACACGGCAGGTCTCAAGACGCCTCTCAGGTCAGAACTAAGATGGCTAACCAGCTCTGATACCACTTATAATGCCCCGACCTTCCACGGCTAATGGGTCACCCACGCTCGCTCTTTCGGCCCATGGGCCCCATCCCATTCAAACGGCCAGTCCGTCAATTTTTCAAGGCTCCAGAGTCATGTTTATTGATCCTGCAATCACCACATGACCTTTCCCAAAATATTTTGGCCTCATTTACACGGTATCGCAAATTACTTTCTGATAGGTCACCCATATTTTGACTACTCCAGCTCAAGCACACTTAACTCTGGAGTTCGCTCTAGATGTGCTCCCGAAAAGGTAAGTGCACTTTGGTGATATAGGTAGTCAAATTAATTCTCTTAAGCCTTTCCATATATCACAACTCGGATGTTACAATCTTGTTCATAATATAAACTAGGGAGATTTTGGTGTATATACAAAACAAAAAGAGAAATAAAGAATATATCTATGATTTTGACATAATGTAATCCTTAACATTTGTGTCACAAAATACTCGGTTTTATCCTTCTTCTTTATATGTAGCATGTAAATGAAAGAGAGACCACGTGATTGACAAAACATAAGGTCAAAAACACCTAAAAACGGGTAAATTTGCGAGATAGCCAAATTTGAGAGCAATATTAAGTAAATGACTATGATTTTGACGTTATTAAGTGAATAATATTTAGCCTTCTTCTAAGCCGGTTATACCCCCATCAAAAATATGTTACCGGTCAAAACTAAAAGGGGATGATGTCGATGACTTAACTAATGAATCAAGCAAATACATCCATGTCACATGCTTTCTTACCACATGCATGTTAACTATGCTATATAAATGTTCTATTCCATTTATTAAAGTACTTTGTTTGATAGAAACAAATATATATAACACCTTTATATAAACAGAACTATAAACCTTAAACTTAACTCCAAATCATAAATACTAAACCCTAAATCTGAATTTCTAAACTCAAATATTAAACCCTAAATCTGAATCTCTAAACCCAAATCCAAATATTAAACTAAATCCAAGCCTCTAATCACTAACCCTAACATAATTCATATAAATCATCTATAAGGCTTATAAACCACCTCTAAAACCTTTATCATTAAACTTTAAACTCAACTATAAACTCTAAACACAAATATAAATCCTCAATCCAAATAGAATAGAAAAAAATAAATAGCATACTACATATTGGTGAATTATGAAATTTGGATGTGGTTAACGAAATTTGTGTGAATGAAAAACAGATTGTGCCATACTAAATACTAAACCCTAAATCCTAATCACTAAACCCTAAACCTAAGTATAGACCATAAACCCAAATACTATACCCTAAATCCTAATCACTAAACCCTAAACCCAAATATAGAACATAAACCCAAATATAATAGAACAAAATACATAGTATAGTACACATTGGTGAACAAAATAGAATACTGTTTATTAATCGTCAAATTTAAGAATTTACATTTAGATGTAAATTTAATCATTATAAATAGTTTTCATCTTCTAACCGAACATGTTCTTCAATTAAAATGGCACAATTCAAGATATTTCCCAAAACGTGAAAATCTAATGAAACAGTGACCCATACACAGAATTCCAACGTTATGCATATGATAATAGACTATTCCATTTACATGAATACAAAAGTCTATTCTATTACATGTGTTCTTAGGTCTATTTTATATACAAGATATAAGATTCAACAGTAGAATATAATGAAAATGGAGATTAAAACAAACTTTCGGGTTTCTGAGTTTACAATAGAGATTCACACACACAACAAAATTTATTTCGAAGAGAATAAAAGAAAACACCAGAAACTTATTGGCTTGAATTCTCTTGTGGAAAACGGATTTTTGAAGTCGAACTGTAAATCGTGACTTCACCTCGCCGCGCTGTGGTGTTGTCTTGTTCGTGCCTCTCAGTATCAGAATCTCAGAAGCTCCCCTTCTCTCAGTGCACGAAATGTGGTGGTCTTCTTCTCTCACCGCCGGGAATTTAGACAATTGTGTTACCGATGATGTTAATCTGAGATTAAATCTATTTACCTTTTCAATTAAAAGATGACGTGAGTAAGATATATGGATAAAGAAGAACCACAGTTTATATTTTACAATAATTAATTATTTATTTTAAATTGGTTGGATGCAGGTTTCGTCGGTTATTGAGAAAGGCATAACTGTTTTATTATAAAAAATATGTATTGTATTCTAGCAAAATAGGTCAAAGCGCCAGATAGTGAATTATAAAAATTTTGGACGCCATAGCGTGAAATTTCCCTAAAAACTATTGCACATAAAAAAAAAAAGAAACTATCCACTTATACGTTTACTGACCACATATATATGCACTGCATGTTCTATTCTAGAGCGTCGAAATAGTATAGAATTATAACCCCTACATAATTACCACAAACATATTCATTATATATACTTTTCCATCTAAATACTAAACCATAAACCTTAATCACTGAATCCTAAATCCTAAATCCAAACCTCAACCCCCACCTTCCAAATATTAAACCCTAAATCCTAGTCACTAAACCCTAAACCCAAGTATAGGTCCTAAACCCAAATAGAATGGAACAAAATACATAGTATAATTGGTAAGTAAAATAGAAAAATATTTATTAATTGTCAAATAGAACGATATATGATAGGGTCACTAAACCTAAACCTCAACCTCCACCTTCCAAATAAATAATAAACTCTAAGTCCTAATCACTAAACCCTAAACTCAAGGCTAGACCTTAAACCCAAATAGAATGAAATAAAATACATAGTATAATATATATTGGTGAACAAGAACATTCTTTATTAATCGTCAAATGGAACGATACATGATAAAATAAGTATAGTAACAGACTATTTCGAATTACATAACATGAACATAACAAACATAATACATATTCTTTTACATTTATATTTCATACGCATACAATATAATAGAACACGATTTAACAAAGACTGTTCATCTTTTCCAAAGAATAGTACAGTCCGCAAGTTCATCTTCTTCTTTTTTTCCACACATGGTGACGCTCTTCTAAGAACTGAGAACAAATCAGAACATAGAAAAAACTCAAAGGCGACATTAATCATCAATGATGACAGTAACCTTCACATAAAGACGTTCTTCACTGCCACCGGAATGATTATCGGCGAGTTTCCCCGGAGTTCTGAGAGATTATATGACAGTAACCTTCGCTGAGAAGAAAAGGTTAAGTTACCTTTTAGTGTGAAAACAAAAGGCAGGGAGAATTACATTAGGTAAAACACATTCAAGTAAAAAGATTTATATTATTTATTTATTTTAATTCCAAAAGGTGGTACCGGTGACTCGTGGAGACAAAATTGCATTTATACATATTACATTACAGACGATGTATCCTAGCAACTTAGGTCAAACAGTCATATATTCAATTATAATTTTTTTGTGATATACATTCCAATTTCCCTATAAACTATTCATATTTATAAAAAAAAGCGCAGCTTCGTTTTAATGACAATTAACATGTTTATCAATTTTTTTTTGTCAGCAACATAAATAGATTCATTAGATTATGCAAATCAAATTGGTAGTCTTGTATCCATATGAACGGCAAACAACCGTTGCTTTTTTGCACTATGTACTAGATTATCCACCTTTAAATTGTGCGTCCAAAGAATATGAATGAGCGATCGATGAGCTGTGAAATCTTCTCTTCAAAAGCTTGATATATATATATATATAAACTATTCATAATTAGGCTTGACCCTAACATATTAGCCTGTTAAATCTATCTGGAAACAACCAACTAATGTTTGGAGTTCGTTTTTCAAAGCTTTTCAGTTATGTAACTGTTAAGATACTGTCGAATTCAATTATTTTAATCTAATGAGCAAATATTTCTAGCCACATTAGAATCTATATAGCTATTTAATATCTAATTAATTAGTTTATAATTCTTCAAAGTGTTAATAAAAACATATATATATATATATATATATGTCTGGCTTAAAATTTTAAGAAACTTCAGTTAAATTTCCGATTAAATCCATATTACTTGGATTTTAATATTTGGTGGAGGATTAGCTTAGTTTTTATCTTGTTGTAGATGGTTTTTATCCAACTGAGATCAATATTATTTTAAAGCCAAACATTTTTATATATTTATTCTAAGTTATACATGGTTATTTATATATATATGATCATTTCATAAATTCTTTTTAAAATCCTTAATATTAAAAGAATTTATATTATTAATTTATTACACAAACTTAAACATAATTTTCTTATCAAATAATACTAATGCTTAGGGGATAAGCTTTATATGTGTCTCATTGTGGCATTGGTGTAAATTACTTGATTCGGAGAACAACTGGATTTCCTATGACTAGCCTCCATTCTGATCGCAGTCTCTCACTCCAATCCATGGCCTAACATGTTTTTATCTTGGGATCGTCATGCTCATGCATTAAGGCATCAGCTAGCTCCATAACCCGAGTACATGAATAAAGATGTTACTGGAATCCTCCTCATTATGGGCGATTATACTCATCCTAAACGGGATCCAAAACACCTCAATAAAGCCTCCATAAGAATATAAGACCAACGTATATTATTTAATGTAATCTTCTATGTTTTAGGCAACTGTTTTTATGGTCCTTAAGTTTTTGTACGTTCTGCCAGTTATTATATTATGGGTAAAATGAGAATACGCATGATATATACATCTCTTTTTGATTGCTATTAAGCCTGATACTAATGCTGGAAGCATGCAAGCCGCCAACCTAACACGTAAAGTGTATCCAAAGTTTTTTTTAAGTGTATCTAAAGTTATTATCTACTTTCTTAACATACTTTATAACAATGTGATATTGGGTACATATGTTTTACTCAATTACCAAATAATCAAATCATTTCTTCTATACATGAATATCAAATTAGTTAACGTTTTGTGGTAACCCTAGAAAAAAACTTAAATGAAGCAAAAAAGAGTATACAGGGTTGAGCAACAAATTAGTCATCGGTATGGGCCGTATGGCTGAAGCATGAGTAATCAAGTACTAACGAGTTATCTTATAGCCTATTTTTTTTTTTTTTTTGGGATAATAATGGCTAGATCCAGCTTGAAATAATTCGTGTCATATATATATACGTAAAAATAATTATGCATGTAGATAAATTGACTGCGAAAGTCCGTCTAACGTGTATAGACTTTGTATCTTAGAGTTTAAACTTTGAATCTGATAGATAAAAATCTTACGGAGACGAAAATACAATCGTTCAACTTCGATCATAAGAAATCGCTGCCGCTGGCAACTCCCAGCCCGTCATCCAACTTTTAGTCAACCCATTGATGTATATATATACAAAAGATATCTTTATGTATAAACGAAACTTTTTTTTATAACTTGGTTCTCACATTCTTTCTTATTAGCCAATCAAATATTTGATTTATCAATTTCCATTTTGATTCCTATTTTGTTTTTGGTTTTCTTGTCATCTGCACAATCGCCAAGACGTTAAACCTCACATGGGCCATATGGGTCTTTATATAACAAAGTCTAAACGTTACATTTCTACTTATTATCAGATCACAATAATCAAGATTTTCATTCTCTCTTCAATCACATCTTCATCCATGGCTTCTTCTTCTTCGTCTTCAATTGATTTCTCAACTGCAATTCTAATAAGGGTTGATCAATCGGGCAAAGGAGATTTTAACAAGATTCAAGAAGCAATTGAATCCATCCCTCCCAATCTAAACAACTCACAACTTTATTTCATTTGGGTTAAACCTGGAGTTTACCGGTACGATCACAATAGTTTTTTATATAATATATATATGATTACATATATGGTGTACTAGTTGTACTGTGTATAAAGATAATTGGCAAAACGATAGAAATATATTTAAAAATTATGAAAATAGTTGAAGATTAATTTTTAGATGTTAAGATTTATGAATTGTTGTTTAGGAATAGTTTTAGAGATTAATATTCTATACCACATGATTAGTTTTTAGGGTTTAATATTTTACAATGAGTTCTAGGGCTTAGATTTTTGGATACCGGTATTCTTAAATTTTTTTGGTGTAAATATTTTTTTTGGTGTAAAGGTATTCTTAATTTTTATACAAAGTTCAGACTATTTTCATGATTTGTTTACTATATTATACTATATGTTCTGTTGATAGGTTTGGCTTGACTTCGACCTACTACTTTTATTCATCTTTGCACCATATTTTGGTTATGACTAGTTCAATATGATTAATCATGATTTCATGACAAACATTTTTTTAGTGCTAATTGGCGGTTTGATGTAAATGAAACAGAGAAAAGGTGGTGATTCCTGCGGATAAACCCTACATAACATTGAGCGGAACAAAAGCCTCAAACACAATTCTCATATGGAGCGATGGTAAAGACCTTTTGGAATCACCCACTCTCACAGTCTTCGCCTCCGATTTCGTATGCCGATTTCTCACTATTCAGGTCGATATTCATCATTTAAAACGTTTAATATATGCATATTCTAAGTAAAAGTCTATCCTGTCAAATGGTTAAGATCGTAGAATTATTATTACACACAAAATGTAAACCAAGCGTTAACGCAAATAAACATTCGGAAACTACAAAATACTCATCGTGACGTGTCTTGTTTTGTTGCAAGTAGAATAAGTTTGGAATAGGCGGACAGGCGGTTGCGTTGCGAGTGGCAGCGGATAACGCAGCGTTCTATGGTTGCGTGATAACGTCATACCAAGACACTCTTCTCGACGACAATGGAAACCATTACTTCAAGAACTGCTATATTGAAGGAGCTACCGATTTCATTTGTGGAAGCGCATCTTCTCTTTATGAGGTAACTCGTTTTATTAAATAGATATTCATATAATATATATATATATATATATATATATATATATATATATATCACAGCTCAACTGAACTTTTCTATATACGTATTTCTCAAGTTTTAGTCCCGTTAATTTTCTTATAACTATTAGGTGATAACATGTGAATATGATAGAGACTAGAGAGAGATAACTAATGTATTTCTAGCACATATAAGCTTAATTGATATGTCAAACAATAAATCATGAAACAATAGTATATATACTCAAATGACCGAATGGCAGAAACGTTTTAGCTGAATAGAGTTGCATTATTCTCTAACGTAAGTAAACTTGCGATAATACAGAACTTCCAAGTTTAACTTGCTTTTTCGGGTATGCTGTGTATAGAAGTGTCATCTACACTCACTGTCGCCAAAAAATGGGTCGATAACGGCGCAAATGAGAACGTCGGCGACAGAGAAATCAGGGTTTATATTCTTGGGATGCAAGTTAACCGGTTCGGGTTTAACATTTTTGGGAAGACCATGGGGAGCTTATTCGAGGGTTGTCTTTGCTTATTCTTTCTTCTCCAATGTGGTTGCACCTCAAGGATGGAACGAATGGCGAGACCCGCGCAGAAAAGAGTAAAAGTCCTATTTGTGTTGAGGTTAGATTTCTTATAAAATTTGGACTAATTAGTTGTATTTCTAATAATGGTGCAGGACTGTATATTATGGTGAATACAAATGTTACGGTCCTGGAGCAGACAGAAAGCAAAGGGTGAAATGGTCGAAAGAGTTATCGGATGAGGAAGCTACCGTCTTCTTGAGCAAGGACTTCATTGGTGGCAAAGACTGGCTCCGACCTGCCCCTACTCATTTCAAAAATTCTCCCAAATCAAACCCAACATAATATTAAACTTGGTGACATTAATTGATTACTATATTCTTCTTTATTTCTTGTATAATTCCTTTCTGCGTATTGATTGTAATTAAAATGCTTAATCTGTGCACATTGTATGATTATTCAAAACACTTGTAATTCTATAACCACTGGATGATTTTATTGTTATCCCCTCCGACCATAAAATTAAATTTTCTAAAAAAACTAACAAGAAATGAAACTTGAAGAAACGAAAAACAAAGGGATGATGAGTTTGGTTCGAACTTCGAAGTAGTAGAATTGTAGAAATGAATCATATTTACAGAAGAGGGTACTTTGGGATTAAATGGAACTAACAAAGCAATTTTCCTGCAACATGAAACAAATTCAACTAATAACCTTTCGTTTCTCCCCCTGGGGAATATGTGAATCAATCAGCACGAGAGGCAGCGCTGCTCCCAGGAGATCTCCGGCCACTATATTTCTGTAACACAGCCAAAAGGTTTGAGATACATTAGCAACTTCAAAACTCATATCCGTAACTATGCATGTGAATGACATTGTAGTCAATTGTGTAGAGACTCATAAAAAAGTACAGAGATTCTACTAATTACTAGAATAGGTATTGATGGAAGAAAAGAAAGAGAAACCTGTTTGCCGATGCTGAAAGGGATGTACTTGTGCTTGATCATGTGGGAGATTTGGCGTCTCATGGTGAGGACAAAGAGAACGACCCAGTAGCAAAGCAGTATAGGCCAGAAGACAGGGACATCAAAAACCGAAAAGAACGTCATAAGAAACGCTATGCAGAACGCCTTCGTCATGGAATACCTGAAACACATTCTTTAAAATTTAAAAAGAAAGAAAGCTAATGGACATGTTAAGATAATACCAAACAGGTTACCAGAATTTGAATTCGGGGAGACGGCGGATAAAAGGCTTGAACTCATCAGAGCCACGAGTAGGGAGAGAAGCACCTCCTCCATCAGAGGCATCAAGCTCAGGATCAACGAGAGGGGACAAGAAACCGATAAGGAGATTCAAGAGGTAGATGCCAAGACCATAGGAGATGATGTAGAAACCGTGAATAGAGAAAACCCTCAAACAGTAGATGAGAAACACAACAAGCGTCCCAATCCACCTGTAGGTCGAGTGAGGAGTAGTCTTGTCGAGGTAATACTTGTAAATCCTCCAAGCCTCGTGGGCACGCTTTTGAACAGGTGTGGCCATGGAACCACCACTGTCACCACCGTTCATTGCAGATTCTTGAAAACCTAGAGATGAATTAAAAAAAATTAATTCTTTAGATACGGGAAACATGATTCAAGATCCAGAAGTTTGTGAACAAGAAATGGAATAAATGACTTAGGAACCTTAGCTTCGAATTCCCAAATCGTGTTTTGCAGAAAGAATCAAGAGAAGGCTAAACAAACAGCTTATGAAATGATTCGCCACCGACTAAATAGATTTCAAGAAATCGAAATATTTAATGACTAGTGGAGAAGAAAGCAAACAACTTACGAAAAGCTGATCTGCTGACCCAAAAGGAGACCTCCTCGACGAATAAGGAAGCAGATCTCTGGCCCCTAAACAACACACACAATGCGAAGAAGAAGAATATCTCACAAGAATTCGTTTTTTCGTTTTTAATTAATTTCCTCGTGGTTTTATATATTTATGCAGAAGCCGCAAATAAAAATGTATGGGTCAGTGTAACCCCCAAAGGTTTTTTTTCTTCTTCTTTCAAATTCACCTACTAGTTTGTGTTTGTCACTGCTGCACCCACAGTTTAAACGTATTTATTGGGAAATTCTATAGAAGTACCCCAAATAATTTTATTAAACTTTTTAATAATTTAAATTTTTATTTCTTACTCAGTTTAGCAACTCAGCTGAGCATTCTGTACATTTAAATAGACTAACTTTTAATATTTTTTCACATTAATATTTAATTTATGTTTATTTTAATCAAAAATATTAATAAGTATGAAAATAAAATTTAAATATTAAAATTGAAAAAATCATAAAAGCTTTTAATTTTATCAAGTTTAAGAAAAAATAAAAACTAAATTTTAGTCAACCTCAATTTTGTTTATTTTTTGTTTTAATTTTAATAATTTGATTTGTATTCTGAAATTTAACACTAATCTATTTCTTTCGAAATTAAGTTTTTCTAAATTCTAATTTTTTAGTGTAAAATTTAGTTACTTTTATTCGTAGAAATTTTTAAAGATTTGTTATTTAACTTTTAATACTCAAAATATTAATAAGTTGAGATACTAAATGTGCAAATTTTATAAAACTAATGTATCAATGAACAAAATAGCTAGTTGAAATATTGAATTAGGTAGTGAAAAAATATAGGTGATAAAATTTTTAATGAAAATCTAGTTGGAGTATTTTTATGAATTGTTTCTTAGTTAGCTGAATTTCAGACTAATTGCAAAACTTTTAGGGGTTTACTTTGTTTCTGCATATTAGGTTACTCGGATATTATGTTATTGTTGTTTACTTGTTGAAGCCAATGACTCCAATCCGACAAGAGAGTCCCAATGAATGACAAACACAACAATGCATCTTAACGAAAAAATAGAAGAGATCTTGTTTGGTTAGTTAACTTAGTTTCATTTTGAACAAATAGATTTGTGTCAAGTACTATCTGATTTCTTGCAATGTCTATCTCATACCTGACATTTTTCTTAACACTTCAAAACTGGGTGATTGGCTGATTGATGTGTCACCAACATTACATCATACAATCATATGGTTTAGATTAGGACTACATGAAAAAATGTTGTTTTACTAACTCCGTTATAAGATTCACTTGTTTGAATTCAATATTTCTGACATCATGTGAAAATAAAACTAATAAATGCTTATTTTTTAATAATATAGAGAGGATCATCAAAAGGTTCATAATAATACAAAAAAGGTGATTGGCCAATCGGTCCAGTCAAGCCTCACTCTGTTTTTATTGTTCTACATTTCTATCTCTTAATCTATATAATAATGATTCACTTTCGAAGCTCCTAAG